GACATCAAGTGCCCTAAAGTATCAGTAGGTGCTCCCGATCTAAGCTTGGAGGCACCTGAAGGTGGTATTAAACTTCCCAAGATGAAGCTGCCCCAGTTTGGCATCTCTGCTCCAGGGTCTGACTTGGACATTAATGTCAAAGGGCCACAAGTTGCTGGAGAACTAAAGGGGCCTGGCATGGATGTGAACCTTGGAGGCCTGAACCTGAAAGGGCCTCAGATCTCTGGCCCTCAAATCTCAGCACCAGATGTAGACTTGAACTTGGAAGGACCAAAAGTGACAGGGAGCCTTGGGGCCGCTGGTCAGATGAAAGGCCCCACCATTGGAGGAGGTCTCCTGGGCTTCAGTGTTCAAGGCCTAGAAGGAAGCCTCCAGATGCCAGGAATGAAGTCATCTGGATGTGACGTGGAGCTCCCAGGTGTGAATGTGAAACTCCCAAGTGGGCAAATTGCTGGTCCTGAAATCAAAGGTGATCTGAAAGGTTCTGGAATAGGTTTCCATGGGGCCGCTCCTGACATTGGCGTGAAAGGGCCTTCAGTTCATGTGGCAACTCCCGAGTCAGATTTTGGTGTCAGCTTGAAGGGCCTGAAAATCAAAGGAGGTGTGGATGTTTCAGGGGGTGTCAGCGCCCCAGATGTCAGCCTGGGCGAAGGGCAGGTGAGTGTCAAAGGCTCTGGGGGTGAGTGGAAAGGACCCCAGGTCTCCTCTGCTCTCAATTTGGATGTACCTAAGTTGGCTGGAGGACTTCATTTCTCAGGACCAAAGGTAGAAGGAGATGTAAAAGGAGGCCAGATTGGACTTCAGAGTCCTGGGCTGAGTGTGTCTGGGCCTCAAGGTCACTTGGAAAGCGGATCTGGAAAAGTAACATTCCCCAAAATGAAGATCCCCAAGTTCACCTTCTCTGGCCGTGAGCTGGTTGGCAGAGAAGTGGGGGTGGATATTAACTTCCCGAAAGCAGAGGCCAGTGTCCAGTCTGGTGCTGGAGAGGGTGAGTGGGAAGAGTCCGACGGAAAACTTAAAAAATCCAAGATCAAAATGCCTAAGTTCAATTTTTCTAAACCTAAAGGGAAAGGTGGTGTCACTGGCTCACCAGAAGCATCCATTTCAGGGTCCAAAGGCGACCTCAAGAGCTCCAAGGCCAGCCTCGGCTCTCTGGAAGGAGAGGCAGAGGTTGAAACATCTTCGCCCAAAGGCAAATTCTCCTTATTCAAAAGCAAGAAGCCACGGCACCGCTCCAGTTCCTTCAGCGACGAGCGGGAGCTCTCTGCACCTGCCACCCCGACAGGGACTTTGGAGTTTGAAGGTGGAGAAGTGTCTCTGGAAGGCGGGAAGGTCAAAGGGAAACACGGGAAGCTGAAATTTGGTACCTTTGGTGGATTAGGGTCAAAGAGCAAAGGTCATTATGAGGTGACTGGGAGCGATGAGGAGGCAGGCAAGTTGCAGGGGAGTGGCGTGTCCTTGGCCTCCAAGAAGTCCCGACTGTCATCTTCCTCTAGTAATGACAGTGGGACTAAGGTCGGCATCCAGCTCCCTGAGGTGGAATTGGCAGTTTCCACAAAGAAAGAGTAGCAGGCCTTTGTGTGTGTACATATCTGTATAAAAAGACATCAGCCTTAGGTGTGTTTGTATATAAACGCCGAAGAGAAACACGCCGACAGCCTCAGCAGTAACGCAAAGATCCGGGCTCTGCCGGTGGCAAGCGCTGAAAAGCCAACCGCCTTTAGACTCCTCCTGGAGCTTTACAGATAGGGAAAGAGTTCAGGTTCTTCGTCCAGCCCATGTGCAAGGTCAACAGTTTTTGCCTTAAGATTTCTAGGTTTTTTTTTTTGCATTGAATGCTGAGAGCTCCTGTTTACTAAGCAAGCTTTTGTGTTTATTATCCTCATTTTTACCAAACATTGTTAGCGTTTGGGTCATGGAAACCCACTTTTTCATTGTAATGACTTTCGGGGCTTTTGTTAGTAAGGGTGGGGTGGGGTAGAAGGCAGTCCAGGGGGTCCAGACCTCCATTTCTCCTACGATTGGAGCTACTCAAGCAGCAAACACCCAAAGATGGCTGAGAGGGGCCGCTGGGCAAGGGCATGTGGGTGTCTCTAGGACTCTTTGGCCTTGCTTTTTTCCCCCAGGGGTGGCGGTCCCAGCTGATTGGTTGGGTAGTCCTCATGGTGAGAGGGAATTAGAATCTGTTTGCAAATTAGTCAACCCACCAGCTCAACCCCGGGAGGGTCTTCCAATCTGTGTGTTGTAAGAGAAATGTTTTCTTCATGATCGCTGCGTTCCTGATATTAGTTCTGATTTCTTTTAACAAATGTTATCATGATTAAGAAAATTTCCAGCACTTTAATGGCAAATTAATTGAGAATGTAAGAAAATGGATGCTGTCAAGGGCAAATAAAGCTGTTTATTAACCCTGATGCACTGTGCCTTT